TCAAAGAACAACTTAAAAAATGTTTTGAAAACATATTTTTTAAAAATACGTTTATTCAAATAGATTATCAAATACAATAGGTGGCAACAGAGAAATGGACCAATTATACACGACGTCACAAGTGTCAAATATAACAAGGAAAACAAAATTTTCTCACATTAGTTGACATTTTTCCAAGATTAAATAAAAAAGTGTAAGCGCAGAAAATAAAGAACGCATATAATTTCACTTATTTTACTGTAAGCTATGCACTTTATTCTAAAATTGTCAACAATATTAATAATTTTGTCGGACACAAAAACTGAATTGACACTTGTGACGTCAGAATACAGCTGTACTGAGATTGTAAAAATTATACGTTGCCATCAACGAGGTATAGAGTGATGATGTACGCTAATCCTTTACTAATTTTATAGGCCATAAACTATACCGAGTACCGAGAGTACCGAACATTTGTTTATCATAAGTTGATTCTGGCCTAACCATATAGTATATCAATAATAGTAAACAGTTGTAAGTGTAAAGTACAGCTAACTGAGCACGCAGGCAAAGAACTATCATCCCCCCTGATTGCCATTTATTGTAAGAATCTATTTGCGTTTATTTAAAGTTTTTGTTACCGTAGAATAGATGTTGTTTAAAAGCAAAAATCTTTCTAAAATATCTGAAAAACAACACGCACTAATCTACCAACATTATAAAATAATCTTTGCCTGACATTATATCTAGGATAATACAAAAGGGCACGGTGGACAATTAGGAAAGGTTAAAATATGTTTTATTTTCTCTGCAGGTTCAGATCTAGTATTTAATATCTAGTATCTAGTGTCTTGTATCTATAGTATCTAGTATCTAGTATCTAGTATCTAGTATCTATTATCTATTATCTAGTATCTAGTATCTAGTATCTAGTATCTAGTCTCTAGTATCTAGTATCTAGTATCTAGTATCTAGTATCTAGTATCTAGTATCTAATATCTAGTATCTAGTATCTAGTATCTAATACCTAGTATCTAGTATCTAGTATCTAGTCTCTAGTATCTAGTATCTAATATCGATATCTAGTATTTAGTATCTAGGATCTAGTATCTAGTATCTATAGTATCTAGTATCTAGTATCATATCTAGTATTTAGTATCTAGGATCTAGTATCTAGTATCTAGTATCTAGTATCTAGTATTTAGTATCTAGTATCTATTATCTAGTATCTAGCATCTAGTATCTAGTATCTAGTATCTAGTATCTAGTATCTAGTCTCTAGTATCTAGTATCTAGTATCTATCCGTTTTGAGATCGTTTTGAGATCCGTTTTGAGATCTGTTTTGATATCTGTTTTGAGATCCGTTTTGAGATCTGTTTTGAGATCCGTTTTGAGATCCGTTTTGAGATACGTTTTGAGGTGTTTTGAGATCTGTTTTGAGATCCGTTTTGAGATCTGTTTTGAGGTCCGTATTGAGATCCTTTGAGATCTTTTGAGATCCATTTTGAGTTCTATTTTGAGGTCCGTTTGAGGTCTGTTTAGAGGTCCGTTTTGAGATCTGTTTTGAGATCCGCTTTGAGGTCCATTTTGAGGTCCATTTTGAGGTCCGTTTTGAGGTCCGCTTTGAGGCCCATTTTAAGGTCGATTTGAGGTCCATTTTGAAGTCCATTTTGAGGTCCATTTTGAGATGTGAATCCTATTTAAAAATTGCATTTTTGACAAGTTTACTTTTATTACATTATGGTCATTTTTTTCTGACCAAAGATATTAGCCAAAACTTTCTTTTCAAAACGAAAAGAAAATCGTTTTCACTTGTTGATTTGAAAAATCGTTTTGGTTAATATCTTTGATAAGAAAAAAATCGAATAATATTGTAATTAAGGTAAATTTATCGAAATTACAATTTCACTTCTTTTGTGAAACACTAAACGTCAAAAAAAACTTAAATGGCTCAAACGATGCTCATCGCTAGATATCAGCAATTTGTTTTACTGCTCCATTACACTGTACAAATAAAAGCATTAAGCTGGAACTCAGAAGTTATTTATTCTTCTTTTATGTCTTTACTATTGTTTTACTTTTCTTTAGTGAGAAGGAGACGTTTACTTTCATTCTTCAGGAAAATAGACATTTTCTCTCTGCAGTTATTTCTTTACAATATCTATATACAGTTTACACCTAGTCACATTTCAACACAAAATCAATTAATTAGGAGTTATCAGTATTTCTCAAACACTGCATACACTCTGGTTCATTTTTAGTACCTGGCCGATTTTGAATTAGCTAGAGCAAGTTTTGATGATCGATAATAACGACACTTTCGCTCGTTTTTATTCAATCGTTCAAAAATAAATGATTTCGTTCGTTCTCAAAAGGATCGTTTATTTTCTATCTAATTCGTTTGTTCATTAAATTCGTCGTTCAGTAAAAAACTATCGTTTTTTTCAAAATATTTCCAAAAATGGGCCTTCAGTTTAAATCTATTGGATTTTTTTCGTTCGTTTATAAAAAACTATCGTTTTTTCATTTCCCTGAAAGATCCAAATATTTTTTCATCTTTTGTTTTTTGTGACACCATAATTCACAAACAATTTCGTTCATTAAAAAAGCGATGCTCATCTCTTACCGAACTCATTAAAGCAGATAATAGATATTTATACCTTTGACCAATCTACACATCAAAAAAGTCTATTTTTGATTTTTTTGTTCATTAAATATTTGAAGATGGGGGTGTACTCTGTTCTTCTATTTACCATTAGAAGAACTAGTTGAACCTTTCAAATCATATCAAAGTCCTCAAAAGATAAAATTATCTTTCCTATGATGGTTCGAAACCAACGTTAGAAACTCTTCTTTGATGATTCATTCAGAATAGTATATTTTCCGATAGGAGAGAACTAATTGAACCAGGAGAACTAATCGAACCAGGGGAACTAATTGAACCAGGAGCACTAATTGAACCAGGAGAACTAATTGAACCAGGAGAACTAATTGAACCAGGAGAACTAATTAAACCAGGAGAACTAATTGAACCAGGAGAACTAATTGAACCTGCCAAAATATCAAATTTTCTGTGGTATGGTTCCTTCTCAATATTAGGAGTTTTCTAACAATACATGGTTTAATTATTCATTCAAAATTGATTGTATCTCAGCTTCATGAAACTTAAATCTGCAAATGTTGTAAATTGTAAATGTCAAACTAAAGTTTAAACCCCTTTATAACTTATTTTAGAATTAAATAGTCATGAAAAAAACGCATGCATTTTCAATATTCTAAAAATTAATAAACATCATCATCAGAGGCGTTTACAAGGAGGGGGAGGGGCTATCTGGACTCAGCCCCTTTCCCCACTTAATCAGTAAAATCTACGGTTTCAGGGTGATTTTAGGTCCCAATGGGTGATGAGACAAATTCCTTTTCACACCCCTGATTATCAGACTGAATTCACATTTTATTTATCTAAAATAAAATCCTTATCGGCCTATCACTCGACCTATCACGCACTCAGCACCCCACTGAGTACCGAGATGTGAACAATGTCCGATTTACAAGGGTACCCCTGAAACCTTAGTCTAATAAAAAATCTGAAAGATATCGTGTTTTATTACTCGAAAAGTGTTTATTTTTGTGAGTTTCTCCGTTGTTTCTTTTAAACAAAAATGCTCACGTCACTTTCGGAGAGAAACTGCAAATGAAAATAAACATAAAATGAAATGTTTTTGGTCAAAAATTCCAATTTTTACACAGATTTTTACACTTATCGGTTGTTTCGGTTAATTAGTGGAAATTTTCTTTAATTTCTTAAATTTCTTAATTTAAAAACTTCCTTTTTTAGTATTTACAGCACTTTTGGAGACAAATGAAGCTTTATCTCATAATTGAATATTGATCCTTTCTACTCTAGTCTAGCTTACTTATTAGATTCTCCTACAGATACAATCTGGTTCAAGTTAAAGGGACTGTGAGCATAATTTAAAGTGATCTTCTATTTTAAAGAGGGCATTCCCACGTCACGACAGGTCCCTTTGAACCTTTGACTGACAAAGGATGTCAGAAATAGCTATGTAAATCTACTGAAGACTAAACACTTAGTAAGCTGTTATATATATTTTTAAGAAATATCAATAACTACGTTCTTAAAGAGTGTTCACTAAATATGGAATGGTTGAGGATGCTTCAATTCTTGAAGGAGTTGAGTTTTTTCCACAACTAATCTTTATATCTTTTACGCCTGATTGTGTAAAACTTTGATATTTAAAGCTTAGAGCATTTGATCAGAATTCATAGTTTGAAAAATCTCAGGTCTACGCCAATGGGTTCCAAAGATATGGGGATTTAAAACCACAGTTTGTGGGAAAAACTCAATTATTTTTTGCGGAAAAAAATTTGATTTAAACCCCAACTAGGATGCCATTATAAATAACGTCATTATCTGTACAAGCCTATACTAGAAAAATAATACTGCTCTCACATTTATGCAAGAAATAAAAATTCGAATTTTATCAAAGAAAACTATTTTCTTATTAAACTAACAAATACCAAAATATTTCCGACAATATCTAAACATTAATCGGGAGGGAGTATTAAACAGATATTAACATCCTGAAAAGAATGCTGGAATTTGCAAATATATAAGTTTAATATTTTGTGTACAGGGTGTCCCAAAAATAATTTGCAATTACATTTTTATTGAATGGAATGGAAAGCTGCTATGCTTTAAAAGGTATCATCCAATCATGCGTTTTTTCTTACATTTTATTTACACCCCTTTGGTTTAGCAAACCTATAAACCTACTGCATACAGTTCTTTTTGGGACACCCTGTATTTATAAAATTTATGTTCACATTTCCTAAATACAAAATCCTTTTCAACCTGAATTTATTATAGTATTTGTTCTACTACACTCTTCTAACTAGACAGGGGGAAACTTAAACCTTGAAAGGAAACATAATTTGTTATTGAACATACTAACCTCAATTGTAAACCCACTTATATATAAGGTCTATTATGTTTAAATCCGTTATACAGAATTAGCATTTCCATCCAACCTACGTAGAAGTATATATAAACCTTCATCTAACTAAATTCATGTTAGCACTGCAAACCTGAGAAATAGTAATAGCAATAATGCTTAAAGTAATACATATTTTACTATATTTCTTCTAAAGGAAATGTTGCTGTTATTTCAATTGAATCTGCTCTAAAAGAGAGAGGAGCATGTCCTATTAACAAGGGTTCCCTTTAAATCTTTCTCCGAGTAAAAATAAATCTTTAAAAAGATGGGCAAATGAAATTCCATCTATGAACCTTAAAGTTCCCCCCCCCCAAAAAAAAGAAAAGGTTAATTACTGATATATATACATTAATTGTTACAAAATAAATGGTTATTTTGACAGCTAATAGCACAAAAAGGGGGGTTAAAGCTTGATAGCCCCCTCCCCATCACACCTATATAGATTTTGATGATTATTTTAAAACTTTTACCTCCAGTTGCCACACAAAGCACAGTAAACGGATCTCCCTCCTAAAAACCCGGTTTTCTTGCAAATGAAAAAAAGTTTGTTCAAACTCGAGATTAGGTTTTCAACAAATTTTTTAAATTTTTAAAGAGATTAAAATGAAATAAGCTAACAATTGCAAAAAAAAAAAATTGAAAAAGAATTGATTTTTTGCTACAAACTTAAATTTTCTAATCACTATATCTTTGCAACAAGATAGTGTAAACCTTAGATATTTCAAACTTAAATTATTTGATCTAATAAAAATCATAGTTTGAAATATCTAAGCTGCACGCCATTGGGTTCCAAAGATATAAGAATTAGATAAGCAGAGTTTGTGGTAAAGACTCAATTCCTTTTCAAGTTTCTCATGTTATTTGATTTTTTGTAAACTGTTCCTTTAAAACTTGATTATTCTTGTTCCAACTTTCAATGACATTGGTAAAAACTTTTGAATATTTGCTATGATCAGAGAGAATCCAGTCTTTGTCTTATTCCACAGTTTTCATAGTTCAACTACTGGTTCAACAGATCTAGTTTTGCTACAATATGTAATCTTAACAACATAAGCCAATTCAAAATTCATCTTTCAATCTAACTCTGAAATAACTAATTTTTAAGTGGCAAATCTGTTAAAATGATTTCTATGAAACTGTTCGTATAGAATTACTTTTGTTAAAATATAAACACATCGAACACGCTATGTTTCACAGTTTGTAATGTGATATTTTAAACATTAGAGTTTCTCTTTTCAAAGATTTTTTTTGGATAATCATTACAAGAAATGGTTCCTTGAATGGTCCGATTGGATTGTTATCTGTTATTTCTCTTCCACGATCACCAATGATCATCAGAGTTACAGGAGGTACTAAAATAAAAAAGAAATGGAAAATAATACAAAATTAATTAATGGCATTTTCAGGAATTTTTTTATTAAGAGTTTCATAATAATCTATTTATTGTAAGTTTTTAACGAGGTTTTTAATATAAGGAAACTTGTACGACGCACGTCATGCAATTAATTATCTTCAAAAGTCCTTTGTTTAGCATTTCTTGACCCTCTGATTATCAGAACTTGATGACCCAACTTCTACCTTTCTTTTTACAATGTTGAACATTTTTTCTGTTTTTGAATGAAAAGTTTGCTAAGCTTTGGTTGTTTGCCATCAGGACCCGTTCTATTATTCATTCTTTAATCTTTTGTTTTCTCCAACTTTGAATGGTTTTATACCTGTAACATCCAAACGAACATGGTGGTACACGGTTGGGGACTAATACAATCAATCAATCATATAAATAAATTCAAAATTTAAGAACATTAAGGACAATAACAAAAATTTTGCCCAAATATCATTTGATAGCTTTTTTGATGGTACGGTAGTTTCAGTAGAAGTAAATATTTCTATTTAGTGTTAAGTGTCAATTTAAGATTCATCTCTTATTGGATGATGAGATACAGAAGTGATGGAAATCCCCCCCCCCCCCTCCCCAAATAATTTTCCATTTGTTTTTAAAATGGCTTTCTCAAAACATCAAAAAACTTTTTAGGTTGGAAAAGAACATAATGATTAAGTTAAATTTTTAATTTCCCGAAAAATTTATTATCTTTAGAGATGAAAATGCACGATTTTCACGTTAATTTAGCAGATGAGCTGATTATTTTACTCAATAGTTCCAAGGGATATTAAGTAACTTCTTTTATGCGAATTATAGGGTCGGTAATGTTGTCCAAAAAGCTGTAAAATATATTGACCTCTTAAAATATTTACAAATCACTGATTAATTGATTGATAAACAAGTTAAATTTACCTTAATTCATTTATGAATTACTAAACTAAATTATCTTAACTAACTGATCTACCTATGAATCGACCTATTAATCGACCTATTAATCGACATTTAAAGCAACCTATTAATAGACTTATTAATCGACCTTTAAATCAACCTGTTAATAGACCTATTAATCAACCTATTAGTAGATCTATTAATTGACCTATTAATCGACCCATTTATCTACCTATTAAACGACCTATTAATTGACCAAGTAATCGACCTATTAATCGACCTATTAATTAATGAATTGAACAATTGGGTAAGCTGATTCTTTGTTTGCCTGATTAATCAATTGATTGATTGATTGCCTGTGTATAATCAACTCTACAAGTATAAGTGCCACTATCAACTCCCTTCAGATCACTGTTCAAGTACACAATTCAATTACGTGTAGGTAGGTAGGTAAGCAGCTTGGGCCTTATTGTTTTTATTTCTTGTTTTTTTTACAGTCGCCAATTGACGGCAATAAGAAAGGCAAAAAGACGATGCCAATTATTCCACTGTTTTTTGGTTACCACTGTTTTTTACTTTCAAGGGTTTATCAAAATCTTAAAAGTTTTACATATAAAACATTTGTCATAAAAAAGTTTTTCTTTCATGTTTTGCAAGTGCAAAGTTCCTTTTGACAAAACATTGCGTAGTTTTTCCTTTATATCTTGTTTCAGGGACCAAATAAAATAAATTGCACAAAGTAGTTGAGCTACGTACACTCAGCTAAACCATTTCTTTTGTACTTGAACTGAAACCTCTTTTTAATACCGTACAGATATAAATTGTAACATTTTTGATTTGGATGTAAATATCAAAATTCAGTATTAACATGATTTTTAATTAAAAATAACATATTGTAATGCTATATTTTCATTTCACAGAAAATGTAATTACAATATTGAACCAACAAAATTATCTTTAATTTTTAATATCAAATCTGTCTTATAAACTCATCACTCTTAGACCATAGTCTATCTTATAAACAACTACTGAAGGGCCTGGCGTTGCCCATGGCAAACAAATTTTTTTTTTAGCCTAAGACACTCCCCGGCTACCCATGAGTGTCCACAAAAAATGTCAGCCCAATCGGTCCAGTTTCCGAATATTGTACATATTCCCCGAAATTAATGAATACGGAAGGCCGGAAGGATATCAGATATTAATGAATACGGAAGGCCGGAAGGATATCAGATATTAATGAATACGGAAGGCCGGAAGGATATCAGATATGGTAAATAATTTGTGCCTAACAGCCAGCATTGATGGATTGCTGTTGATATGGTAGTAAGCTCGGCTTCCAAATGCCTGAAAAAGACAAATGTACTTTTTAGTTCAAAATTGTCGGTTAAAAATTTGAAGAAAATCATTGAATTGAATTTTGAGATGCGATCTAATTCATTAATTTTTGGCCTATGCATTCTTTCTTAACATAATTATGCATGCTTTTAACACTATCATGTATAACTTACATTAGAACTTCTTTACTTTTTCAACATAGTAGTTGTAAACAAATTTTGCTAAAAATCTTTTTTTTGATGCATAGGGAAGGTTGGAACTGAAGAACGGTAAAATGGTGGGTTGGTGATTTAAAAATCAGAAATGTTTAATAACATTTTTATTAATGAAGTTACATGGCTAAGAATTATACTTGAAAAGCCCTTGAAAAATGAATATATTTACATGTGTCATATGTTTATATATGCCAAAAGAAAAAATAACTATTTTTAGAAAAAATTTCGACATACCTTTTTAATTTTTTAAAAATCCTCACTTACACCCTAACCATTAAAGTTAGAGGTCATTTTTAATGAGCAGGCCTTAAAAAGTTGGACTTGGGAAATGTATCACACTCATCTATCTCAACTCAAAGGGCAAAATCATAGGGGGGGGGGGGGTGGTGTAAAACACCCCCCCCCCATCTATATTAGACAAAAATAGCCCAATCGGATAGTGTTAAGGGTAACTATGAAAACGTCAATACCCAGAGATTTGACATGTCCAATTCCCAGTGGTACTTTTAAACCTTTAAAATTTGTAAGTCATTCTTACAAAAAAAAAAAAAATCGAAAATGTCAAATTTTTTGCTGAAACGAAATTTCTCACGGGTACCACTGTGAATTGGGCATGCCATTTGCCTGTCAACAGCCGGATTTAGAAGAAAAAAACAACAGACAAATCAATATCTGTATTTTTATGACTCCCAAAATTATGCATTATTAAACAATTTATTCTGAAACCAATATTTATCTTCTTGTAATTTAATCAATAAATATAATTGATTTTTTTTGATTGTATATAAAATGTCTGTAGATACCATTTCTTTCTAATTTCAAAGGTAAGGCCTGTTAAGGTATGAATCTGCCACTTTTTTTGAAAATAATCTTCCCAAAGCGGTTTGAAATTTATAATATAGTAAACTAGGTTTATATCATTATTCATAGTTATAGTTACTCCCACCGTTTTAACGAACATATATATACAGGGTTACCCACAAAGGATGAGACTGTCAAGACGACAGGGAACTCTTAAAATATTACGATCCCGAGCTTAAATTACGTATTATGCCTTAGATTTATGTAATCTAATGGCTTAATTAATGGTTTGGAAAAGAAACTAACAAGTTTACAGTTGCAGGGTATCGTAATGAAAAAGACGGTATAAATTCCGCAAAATCGTGTCTTAAGTCTCATCCTTGTATATGGGTAACCTTGTATTTACAAATATAAAGATAAATTTTGATAGAACATGGAACAAATCAAGGCGATATCCTAAATTCTCATTTGGACAAATCCATATTTTATTGTTTTCTGTGCAGAGAGATTAAATAATTGCAAAATTTCGTCTGAGAGTTCTTATTTCTAACCAATTTTAACATGTTATAATGTTTATAATTTGATTTTTAAATACTAAAATGTAGATTTAGAAGTTCTGGGCTCTTTTGAAATGTTCCCTGGCAGCGCTATACTCAATATAATTTACAAAACAATTTTCTTTCTAAAAATATCTTCTTGATTAATCTGTATTAAAACGGAAAAAGTTTAAGGGTGAACACTAATGATATGATATGGGTAAAAAAAGTAGATTTTTTTCAAAAATAACTTTTTTTCGAAAAAAATATCTTTTTTTTGATTCATACTTTTATTTTCAAAATTCCTTTTTTTCACAGGCAGCGCCGGGCACTTTAGCTATAAGTATTTTTTTAGGTTAAGTTTATAATACCTTAGGTTCTGACCATAGACTCCTATCCTGTAAACCACCTCCTGGACGGGAATCATAACTAAAATATAATTTATAACTGAAATATAAATATATATATTAGAGTGGAAATCCAGCTTTGACTTGACACTAAACTTTCGCTGTAAAAGTCAACAAACCCAATTCAGAACGTTTGACCAGACCAAGAAAATTCCCGTGGTTCTTCCAAGTTCCCTAATTTGAATTTTAGGCAAATTTATCAAGGATTCCCTGAGTCATATGATCGGATTTACAAACATAGAGATTATGCCTTATTAATATAGCACAAATGCTACCACCCCTCCCTCCAATCCTCTGCCTCCTTCCGGAGTACGTGGATCACAGATTTAACTATAATATTTACTATAGCTGAAGGGCCCGGCGTTGCCCGTGGAAATAATAAAATGTTGAAAAAAAATATTTCAAAATTCAAAAAAATTATTCGAATTTTTGTTAGCCTATAACACCCCCGCCCCACCCATGAGTGTCAACAAAAAATGTCAGCCCAATCGGTCCAGCCGTTGGCCGGCTATACGAAACAAAATAAAAAGGAGTCTTATATGGTTATGTTGTTATAATATCAGTAGGGACAGGGGCATATACAGAAATTTGGCCGAGGGGGGGGAGCAACATTTTTTTCAAGGTGGGGGGAGGNAGATCTTGAATTCTATCGTTTTGTGAATCTTTAATCGAATGAAGGGACACTTAAAGGGACTGTAAAGGCTAAAACCTGAGAATCTCAGGCGTTGAACGATACATATAAGACATCTATCTGATGATCCTGTCTCTAGAAATTGATAACAAAAACTGTGTCTTTATACCAAAATCAGTGTATCCCAAATTTTGTATAAAAATAATAGGATTAAACAGATCAAATTCAACAAATACGCAACCAATCTGAAACCAACGATATCCCAGAGGAGTCTAAGTAACCTAGGTTTGATCTTATTATAAATTTATCATTTTTATTTTTCACTTTTAATAGATATAATTGATATGGATTCCAGTTTTCCTGTTTCCGGATTTTCCTCATAATTCTCGAGCATTATGAACTTTCTTAGAGAATCAAATTATTGCTTCTACAATATAATAAATGCGTCCGTATTACGTGACCAGAACTCTGGTCACATGCTACGGACGTAATAATTATATTATCAATTAGATCTATCAAAAATGAAAAATTATTAAACTCAAATAATATTAGGAGCAAACCTAAGTTACTTAGGCTCCTCTGGGATATCGATGTTTTCAGATTGGTTGCGTATTTGCTTAATATGATCTGCTAAAACCTACTATTGTTACACAAAATTTGGTGAATACCGATTTTGGTATAAATTTGACACAGTTTTTTTTATAAATTTTACAAGACACGAACATCAGATAGAACTCGCAAGGGTTTCGACCAACTCCTAAGTAACTTAGTTTTTAGCCATTGCCTCCTGACATTTTTCCTTTACAGTCCCTTTAAAAAAAAAGGGTCATACAGTACTTTTAAAAAAGCAAGAGAAGCACAAAGATTCCTACTCCCGGCCGCCACAGTTTTTATAAATCCTAAACTATACCTGTATATTCGTATTCCAGAAACTTGTTATTCTAAACTATTCCTGTATATTGGTGTTCCAGAATCTTGTTATTCTAAACTATACCTGTATATTGGTGTTCCAGAATCTTGTTATTCTAAACTATACCTGTATATTGGTGTTCCAGAATCTTGTTATTCTAAACTATACCTTTATATTGGTATTCCAGAAACTTGTTATTCTAAACTATACCTGTATGTTGGTGTTCCAGAATCTTGTTATTCTGAACTATACCTGTATATTGGTGTTCCAGAATCTTGTTATTTTAAACTATACCTGTATATTGGTATTCCAGAAACTTGTTATTCTAAACTATATCTGTATGTTGGTGTTCCGGTATCTTGTTATTCTAAACTATACCTGTATGTTGGTGTTCCGGAATCTTGTTATTCTAAACTATACCTGTATATTGGTGTTCCAGAATCTTGTTATTCTAAACTATACCTGTATATTGGTGTTCCAGAATCTTTCCTGTACCAAAGAACAAGATACACACTATCGTTTTTTCTGTACACACCATATTTAAATGTNGGCTCATAACTAGGACGTTTGTATGTGAAGAAAATATATCTTAATTTTTCACCTTTGGCTTACATCACCCTGCATGATGTGAGACATGAGAAAAAATCCATTTTTTAAGAGTTTTTCAAAATAAAATTACGCCATCGTTGCGCAATGAAACTTAACATTTCTTCAATAAAAACTTTCTAATCCCTATATCGTCGCATTGGAGGTAGGGATATATCGTTTTCCCTTGTTTTTGAAAAACTATTATTTCGTTTCAAAAATGACGAAGAAAAACGAAAAACGAAAAACGAAACCATCGTTTTTAAAACAACGAAAAACGAAACCGTTGAAAAAAACAAAACAATCGTTCTTGTAAACGACCCTTCGTTAAAGACCTTCTTAATGAGAAAATACATTTTTTTTGGAAAATCCGAGGTCAGAAAACATTCACGTTATAAAGAGCATTTTTTTCTATCTTAAAGTCATGGAAATTTAAAAGATTTTGTGTTCTTTAACATTAAATCAATGCTTAAAAGAATAAGATATCCACAAAGATAAGTCAAACTTCAAAGGTTAAAGACAGGAGCCAAGATTTAAAATTGAAGAATTTTAAGAATTGCTTTATTCCTTTTATTCTTTTATTCTTTTATCATTTTAAAATATTCATTTCGGAAACAAAGCGAATAAAATGGAGTCAGGCGAGGGTTGTTGAAGAAAATAATAAATTTTAATATTATTTAACTTCAACTTTCGTATTTTTTAATTTTAGTAAAATAAACTGGAGCTTCTTCAATTTCTCTGTCTGTATATAAAAGCCACACACCGGACTAACCAGAGTGAGAAACATTCGGTTACTTTTATTTGAAATTAAACATGTTTTTGTCTATAACTCAATCATCTTTAAACTTTGTTTATTTTATACTTTTTCATTCAAAACGTATATGCCAACAAAAAATTATTTGAGAAAAAAGGCTAAAAAATTCTGTATAAGGGGTAAAATTGTGATTGTAAGTTGCAGCTTTCTAAAACCGTTAAATCCACGTGGCCATGGAAGATGGAACAGCTGACATGATCTAGATTTACAAGTGTAACTTTAGAAAACTTAAACTTTACATATTTTTACATAATTATCATTTTGTGTTTTTATCAGAAATCTAGCCAATTTTGACAATACAGATAATTCTCAAGATTGTAATTGTAAAAATGTAATAATGTTTTCGAAATTTAAAATCTTTGGCTTCATTCAAGACCAAGCGAAAGAAGAGATAAAATTAAACAGGTTGGGTTTTCCATCGCAAGGTTGCAAATATGTCAGGATAGGAAAATCAGTGTTTAATGCGAGTATTCAGAACTGATCGCTTAATATGAATATCTATTGGGGACACTTTTCATTTCTGCTTAACCCGTTTTGATAACCCTGCCAGTTTCCGACTAATGGGAATTCTCTTATAAAAAGGAGCGCAACATATCAAGTTTCCAAGCTTCCAGTTGGCTGTTTAGAATAATGAATTTTAGCCACTTTTCTGGATACAAGATTAAGTTGATATTGAGCACACTTGTATGCCAGGTCCATTAGCGCCTGATCCAATCAGGTTTCAGCCATGTGTTTGTTGTCTATTCTGAACCAATAGAAATAGCATATTAATCTCTAGGTTATATAATGCTTGTTATCCTCTTGTTATTAATCTCCAGATTAATTAACTGATCGGGATTAAGGATATCCCATTCTAAAGTTTTCAGCTCAGTTCCCATATACACATCCAAATTTAAACTGCTACGAAGGAAAACAAAAATACTATGACTATTTTGAAACTTAGATTCCCCTCTAATCGAAACAAGGTTAAAGAAAGTATAACAAAGTTATTGAGAACTACGTATCTACAAAATTTAATTCAAAAGTTTTAGAATTTGAAAACTTTCTTGGCAAGATTATTTTTATCTACGTCATTAAAATAAAAATCCCCGGGCCACTAATACAATAAAAATCCACTAAAATACGGGTTTCGTTTTTTCTTTTTTCTTTTTTGGTGTTGCATACTGTAAAGGGTATAGTATAATCAAATATTTACAGACAAAATAGTTTAATATTTACACACCAAATTTGTTTCTTGAAACTAAATTGACAAAATATCAAATTAATTATAAAAATGTCTAAATACTAATATTTTATATTTTTTAAATATGTTCCTAGAATGTATATCGCAGGGTAGACGGGCTTGTTCCCCCTCAATGCTGCTAAAAATTATTAAAAATAAAATAATTTTAAAAATATCTAGAATATCTGAGAGAATATCCCAAACATCCATTTTTTTTGATTGAATCTTGTTGCTTATGTGCAGATGTATGTTGTATATTGAATTTTAAAACAACATTTTAAAATAAAATTTTTAACAGAAAATGGGTATTGCTAGATAAAATGCTAAAGAACTTGTATTCATGACATATCAAAAGTTGTAAATTTTTCCGTTTAGAATGAGAAATATCCAAATCCAAACCTTGATTAATTCAATTATATGAATGGATATCTACAAGTTTTTTAATCAATCTTTAATCTTCAATTAGATAAAAATAATTGGATAAATAAATTAGTACTTTCTTTTGAGATATTCTTTTTATAGGGATTGATAACTTTAATACTACAGTGAACCCCTATAAAACTCTGGAATAAGAAGACGGCATTGACACCATTTGATGTGTTTTTGATGATGTTGATAGTTTTATCAAAAAACTTAATATCAACAAATTAAGTGAAAAAGTCCTGTGTGTGATACTGTAAAGGTGATTTTTTTTTTGGTCAATTTTGACTATTTAAAATAAGTTTAGCATTCGTTTTCCAGTTCCACTTTTTTATGGGTTAACTATATGAAATTATGAAATAATCAACAAATTAATGAAAAATTGATTGTTTTGTAAAGTTGATCTTATATATCTTCTTATTCAAAATAGTTTTCTAAAACGTTTGAACAGTAAAAACTATCTAAAATGGACTAATATCCTTTCATAAATAGTTTCTTATGTTTAAAGATCTATATTTCAACATTTTAGGACATCCTTGAAGGCAGAAGAAATGTTTGAAGAATATTTCTGTTTGTTTAATATTTACCTTACAATGAAGACATCGTTGTCAGCTGATGATATGGTGCAGTACACTTGGTAGAACAACAAACAGAGATGAAATCTCATCTTCCTTGTACAGAAAAGCTAGAAATTTATAAAATTTAAATTCCTGATTTCATTTTCTTCTAATTTCTTAAACTCTGAAAATATATAAATATGTAGTTTTCAGCGTTAAAGTTATTCAAGTGTTGTAACTCTAGAACCAAATATAATGTTTAAAAAAAATCATAGAACAATAAAACACAGATAGTACACTAGATGTGGTCTTTTCAAAATTAAGGGGTTTTTCGTTCACAATAACCCTGAGCCAAAAGCCACGCGCTTGCTGTGTTAAATTACAAGACAGAGAGAGAGCGTAATTCCTTTGGGCCTCTGCCTCAAGGTTAGTGTGAATTAAAAACCCTTAAATCTTGAAAAGACGACATCTAGTGTTCTATTTTTGTTGTTATCAAAAGTTATTTTGAATTAAATATGGCTCTAAAAATACATCTGGAATTTTGAATCATAAGAAACAGTTCAATTCTTTGGAAATATTTTTGAATTATTTTTTTTACTTTGCAAAAATATTGAAGTTAAGAGTTTATATTGAAGGAAAGTGCAGTTTTCAACTTCTCTGACCAAGTTAACAAAGTTTAAACTTCACGAAACAGGGTATTAATGTTTTTATATATTTTTCATTTTATAAAGAAATAGAATTAATGATATTTAAAGAATTTTTTTTCAAGAAGGGTGATAACCACGGTGGAGAAGGCAAGCCTTATCATTTCTTCATCAACGCCACATTCTTCTGATTTTCTAATCCGAGCCACATTTTTAGTAACTCTTTTTTTCATTTAAGAATAAACTGAGTCATTAATTTGATAACAAATGTTTGCTTGCTAACAAGATGTGGATCGGAAGAGGCTCGGTTGCTAACAAGATGTGGCTCACCTTGCTTCTCTCGCTCATTTTATTGCAGAGTTATTGCAGGGTGTCCCACGAAATATGACAGTTGGTGAATATTTAAAAATATCTTCTTTTATAAATTGCTAAATAAATTGTTAAAGTGGTTTGATACTAAAGAATATACAGGGTTGCCCATAAAGGAATTCATACTGTCTGTAAACTTCGTTCTTTATCATTAAATAAGCCATTTTAAACCCACATTCTAGGCAGAACACTTAATCTTTACTTGGGATCGTCATATTGGGAAGTTTTAAGTCGTCTTTACAGTCTTATCTTTTGTGGGTAACCGGCCTCTAATAAAAGATTTGATATGGCGTCCAATTTCAGTAAAATTTATTTCAAAGTAAAATACTTTTGGTAAAAATCTATAACAGTATTATAGGGATGAAGACATTTAAAACTATTCACCAACTGAAGTCATACACCCTGAATAAAAAAATAAATAAATAAATCTATGAATATTATTTCTTTTGATCGTTTATTTCATGAAACCCCTGGAAGGAACATTTTCTTAATCACTGATAGATCTTTTCAAATTTAATAAAAAATAGATAAAAATAAGTTTGTAATGTCTAATTTGAGAAAAGCCGTTTTCTTCTCGAAATAACAAAGACGGATTTTAAAATTGTGTAATTTCAACAAATTACATGGGCCTTAATAGGATTAAAAATGTGGTAAAAAATTATTAAAACTTTTAAAAAAATTATTGAAAGATTAAAATTTATTTTGGCAAAAGGAAATAGATTATCTGAAATAGATATTATTTGATCACGCACAATAGTTTTCTACTGGGAACGAACAAGCTTTAAATGATAAAAGTTGTAAATCATAAAATTTAAAACATTTTTGCCTTTTCTAATACATAGTTAAGTAAACTTTTTTTTTTCTCTTTTGAATATATTTTTTCTGTTAATTAGTTCATGTAATACAGTAATAACCAGAAAATTCTGAGATAGGAAGACGACTTTTAGAATAAGTTATATTTCAAAAAGTCCCACTAGCATGATACCCATCAATTTTGCAGTATAAACAGACCCATTTCACTAAATTATTGATTTATTAAGTCTTTAGTAATACTTGTTTATTTGAAACGCATTCACCCCGACGAAAAAAGAAGAAAAATCACGAGATATGTAGTCGGCAAAATTATGATTGTAAGGCCCAGTTTGGCAGGGAAAAGACCGAACTTTTAAAGGCAGTTTTCACGAAAAATGAAAGGTGTTAGGTTTTACATCAAAAACAATGCGATGGTGATCGCTATTAATCTTACTTCTATGTGTTGCGCCTGTAAAGAGAAAAATGGTTAAACATAACTCATACCGAAGAACGTAGCGTTCATACGAATTCAGAAAGTTGCAAACAAATCATTCAGATATTACAACCTATAATTATCGAATTTTATTGTTTACGTTCATTATTTTTTATTTGAAATTCAAATATAATAAGCATTTTTAATAAATTGACTAAAGATAAAAAGTCAATAATTTTTCGTAATCAATTGAAAATAAAAACAGGGCTCATTACGAACTCGTAGAAAATTATTAGCGCAGTTGTTGAAATATATCATTGTTTAATTTAAAATGTAGACTTTTTTAAGCACTAAATTTGTAAACCGAATTGTACACTTTTGAGTGTAGAATGTGGACGTTATATTAAAAGCAAACCAAAATCAAATTAGCATTTTCTTAAAGTGTATTTCATTGAATCGCATATATTTTAGGACTGTTTTTGATGGAATCAAACTTTATTTTAAAAGTGCTACAAAACATATCTAAATATGAACAACAATCTTTAATTTTTAATTCTGCTGTAGCAGTGTAGAAAACCTTGAAATTGGAAAACGACATTTAAGCAATTTTATGTGTATCTGAATTCGGTTGTTATGAAGCAATTAGTTTTACCTACACGGAAGGACTTAATGAATTTGCGGGGTCAATGAACTTTGATTCAGGAAGGATTTGAATCGGTTTCTTAAATTTGAACCGGGAAAAAGCAGTTCAAATTCATTAAATTCGGTCCCAGGGAATCTTAACTTTGAGTTGGTGGTTCAAATTTGAATCGCAGTTCTTCAGCGACGTATTTAAAGCTCACAAAATTCGGCCTAGATACAGGGTGTCCCAATAAACATGGGAATGCATTGACGACTTTTATATCGTCTTCAATCCATGCCACATTTTTCATGAACACAATAGTTGCAGTGTTCCAGTTAACACCTACTAGCTAACACATATAATATCGAAAATGCCTGTATACAAATTTCAATTTATTCGATAAATCAAAACTGTCTTAACATCTTATATCTTTGTCAATTTTTAATGCAAGAGAAGAGCTCGTCAGACGTAGCCAAATTAAATGAGATGTGGATGAGATTTGGATGAGATATGGATGAGATATGGATGATATATGGATGAGATATAGATGCGATATGGATGAGATATGGATGAGATATGGATGAGATATGGATGATATATGGATGAGATATAGATGAGATATGCATGAGATATGGATGAGATATGGATGAGATATAGATGAGATATGGATGAGATATGGATGAGATATAGATGAGATATGGATGAAATATGGATGAGATATGGATGAGATATGGATAAGATATAGATGAGATATGGATGAGATATGGATGAGATATGGATGAGATATAGATGAGATATGGATGAAATATGGATGAGATATGGATGAGATATCTATGAGATATGGATGAGAACATAGCTTTATTTTTATACTTTCTATGCCATGCATTAAATTTCAGAAAACAAAGAGGACTTATTGGGACAAAGTGTAACTTGCAAATTAATTTATTAAGTGAAATAGGTTTGTTTCCAATGTGCATTGCTGTGTTCATTCTTACTTTTAGCAGTCGTCTTTCATTATATCAGTTTTATGGTTCCAGATTTATATATTTTTTAAGTTGTCGTATTATTTAAAATTTACAAATTGTGATTGATAAAAACGAAAACCATGGCTTAATGTTTTATATTAACAAAAATGCTTCCAGGCCCGTAGAATTAAGAAGTTCTTTTCACGATCTTATCAAAAATGTTAATGCTGAGAAAAAAATAGAATCTATGTAACCTCCGATCCTCAGAAAGGTTGGATCTAAACTAACGGAGGCCTCGGTAAATTCATGTTTAGTAGGTGTCCTACCCCCCAACCTCTCATGGTTCAAAATAAGAAAGTGTCCCAGCCCCCCCTCCCCCACCCCACCCCTCCTC